TGGGAAATCTGAACAGAAATATATAGAGAAAGTAGGCGAAGTCAAGCAGATGTTAGCCAGCCAGTCACTGAGGAAAGACAACATGTAGAAAATGAGGTAACACCACAGTCACAGGGCAATACATAAACTAATAGAAATAGATTATTTTAAGATATAAGAGCTAGCTAGAAATACGCCAAACAGTGCTGCAATTAATATAGCTTCTGTGTGATTATTCGGGTCTGGGTGGCTGGGAAACGAAAGCACAGTCTGTTTACAGTGGTGAGCTACAATTCAGCATCATGGTCACAATGTTTTTGTCTTTGTTTGCTTGTTTTCTGAGACAGGGTTTCTCTGTTTACAGCCTGTCCTAGAACTAGCTCATATAGACCAGGCTGGCCTCGAACTCACAGAGATCCGCCTGCCTGTGCCTCCCGAGTGCTGGGATTAAAGGCGTGTCTCTTCAATGGTTTCCTGTCTAGGTTGTTATTTTTGGGATAATGGGGATGGGAGTATCAGAAACCTGTTATATCTCTCTTTCTCCACTATGAGTCTGCAGTCATCAACGCCACTGCAGAAGAAGGTTCTTTGTCCTTTATAGTCAGTCAGCAGGAGCACAGATCGTGGGTTCCACATAGTATCTGGCTACAACACAGACCAGACATCCACCTGGCTTCCAGCATCAGCTTGTACCTCGGAGCGGACTTCAACATCGTCTCCGGTGGCAGTACAGGTCACAGGCACCAATACGGACCCTGGCTGCAGTCCAGCGCACAGATGTCATCATGGCTTCGGGTGGCAGCACAAGCCACAGACATCGTAAGGCTTTCGGTAGTAACACAGGCCATGGCTGTGGCTGGACCAAGGACTCAGACATGGCCCCTGGTGTTAGCAGGCCACAGATATCTCCAGGTCCTCCGGCAGGAGTACGGGACACACACATGCACATCAACACGACCTCCTGATGGCAGCTCAAGCCTCAGACATCGGCATGGTTCGGCGTCTTTCCACAGCATCTGTATCACTCCACTTCTTCATCGTCCCCACTGCAAACTCACACGGGGCAGGGGCACTGAAAACTGCATCGCATTACTCAGCACACCTTTTTGCCCGCATATCTCTGCATGCAAATGCTCATGGCACAGGTCTGACTCAAAGCCTCTGCTCTCTGAAGCACCATAAATACCAGGTCATTGCCACGACTTCTTTGATCACAGCCGTACTTCAGGTTTTCACCTTCAGTAGCCACGACATGCTCCCCAGATCCGGTTTGGCAGCACCAGTTCCTCCTCGAGGTCTAGCAGTTTGTACATGAAGTAGGTATTGGGGTTCACCTACTTGAAGCGCTAGATCTGTGCCTGATTGCGGCCACAGGCTCTTGATCTTGGTGGGGGATTAAAGGCCTGCGCCACCACCAGCTCCAACTTGATTTTTGAGACGGTTTCTTACTGACTCTGGAGATCCTGAATTCCACTAGACTGGCTGAAAAGTAAGCCTCAAGGGTCTGCCTGTGTCCCTCTTTCCAGTGCCAGATTTGCGGGCACAAGCTACCTACCAGCTTCCAGTACTGGTGTTCAGGTCCACGTGATTAGTCGGCAGATACTTACTGACTCAGCTATCTCCCACATCCCAGTTATCTTCCTAAGGGCCAGTCCTGGGTCTGCATTTTAATAGTCAATAATTGTCAGCTAAATCGAGCACTGCAAGCAAGAAGGGCTGTCGTCCACTGCTGACATCTGTTAATGGGTAAGAGAACAGACTCGAAACTCGGGGCACTTTAAAGTCTGCCCCAGCATTTCCTCTCCACTAAGCCCTTTCGGTCTGCCCACACGTGTGCAGCCTGGGAAGCCAGCCAGGCTTGTGCGTTTTGGCCTGTGCTATCATCCGGTCTCTGCTGCCTGTATGTATGGCCCCAGCCAGACATATGCTTGCTCTAACCGGGACCAGAATCTTAGACTAATAGAGCCATTCACCTCTATGCACAACCACTGCCTTCCATGTGCGCCATCCACCGCACGTGTGTGTCATCACACGTGTGCCTCTCTCTGAGGCCCAGGAACGTCCTCTGACTCCAGCACCCACAGCCTGCCACAATCTACAGAGCTGGGAGGGTGGCTCAGAAGCAGCCCAGGCGAACGCACCCCCGAGACACTGCCCTCTGACTGTTCTTACCCAGCATTCAATAATTTGATTTGTCCGTTTGCTTCTGTGACAAAGAAGTCCACGTTAGCTTTGACCTTTCATGTCCGTGCCCTCCCTAGAGGAAGACTAGCTCCATGTGCAGGCACGCTCCAGTACATCAGGCTAGTCCATCATTTCAAATACAGACTAGCGTGGTAAGCCCAGATCCTGATTGTTAGCATATGTGTTGTTTTTTTTTCCCTACTTTGTAGCTGCCATGTTGATTTATAAGTATTAGTTTATTTAGTACTCAGGACAATACATTTTTCACTTTCCTTATTCTAACTTTGGTGTTGAGGACAGCTTCAGGTGTAAGAGATATTAGGGGTGACACAGAAGAGAGAAACTGGATTCAGAGAGAAAGACATTAGGTAGGACTAAAGGAGTAGTCAGTGAGTCGCTTGAACCTGAGCTTGGGTGTTCTGCTTCCCAGCTGATGGTCTGGGTATACCACCCGCCTGATTTCTTCTAGGGGAGAACTGGGGATGAGAGTACTGTTCTCAATTCCACCCCCGCTCCACCAACCCCATCCCCGCCTCACCCCCACCCCACCCACCCCAACCTCCCCTGCTCCTGCCCCGCCCCACCCTACCCCTCCCTACCCCACCCCGCCCCTCTTACTAGTCCCCTGGAGTTCCCTACCCCTACAGACTTTGCTGTTATCATAATGTTGCCATGAAAGGGGATTTGAAGTTTGGTTTACAGCAGTTGTACACAGTCTTTTGTTCTAATTATAGCAGGATTAATCTTTCTTTAGTAGATAACTATTAATAATTCATATAATTATCTTTAATAATAAATTTCTGTTTAAAAGCGTCCACTTCTTATTGATTTTCCCAGGGGCATCCCTTCAGTTCCGGGGGTTTGGTTAAAGCTTTAGCAGATTATTAAGACTTCCATGAGTAGAGATTCTGATTTTTTTTTTTTTTGGAGAAATAAGGATCACTTTCCAATGGAAGAGGCTATCAAAGCATTGATAATGTCCAAATAAGTAGATAGATGTGCATGGGAGTTACAAGAATAAAAACCTAAAGGGCTCGGGAAATCCTCCTGCCTCAGTCACATGAGTTAAGATTCCCTGGGGCCAGATCTCTTGGTTCTGCCCTGGCTTATCTTTGTTGTTTTTGTTTAAATACAAGGAGAGTATGGTGGACTCCTTTCCCTTTGGCCTGTCCTCTCGGTCACGGAGCTTGAGATCTGAAAGTACCATCCACTGGCTTCCTGGCACTGCGGTTTCTGGTTAGTTTGGCCAACAGAAAGTGCTAGAAAGAAGACTGGAGATTAGGCACTCTGGTTTGGTGTGTGTGCTGCCAGAGCAGGGGTACTAGAATCTGCCATTGTCACTACCCCGGCCTTCCTGTGCAAGCACACGCTAGATCAGCAGTTCTCAACCTGTGGGTCAAGACCCCCTGAGGGTTGAGCAACCCTTTCATAGTGCTCACTTAAGACCATCTACATGTCAGATAATACTGTATGATTCGTAACAGTCGTGAAATCACAGTTATGAAGTAGCAACAAAAGTTCAGGCTGCGAGCCACTACAACATGAGGAACTATATTAAGAAGTCGCAGTATTGAGAAGGTTGAGAACCACTGCTTTAGATGAGTGTTCATGCCTTAGATGTCTTCTGAGTGCTGGAAGCTCACAGAACGCTGATGCAGAGAAATATCTTTGGTTAGGGGAAAAGTTCTATGGTGGTTCATACTGTCAATTTGGCACGATCTGGAGCCACTTAGGAGACAAGCTCTGGCACAGGTTGTGGGGGACTATATAGATACAATTAATTAAAGTTGGAAGATCCATCTTAACTGTGGGCAGCAGCATTCCGTGATCTGAGGTCCTGGACTAAAACTAAAGGAGAAAATACGCTGAACACCAGTGATTATGGAACTTTCTCGGACCAGTGTGCTCGGACTTTCTCTGTCCTGCCAACCAGCTCCCAAATCACAACGTTATTAATTATGAAAACTCAGCCAATAGCTTAGCTTGTTTTTAACTAACTCTTATAACTTAAATTAACCCATTTCTACTCAGCTATGTGTTGCCGCATGACTCGTGGCTTTACTCTCTCCTCCTGCATGTCTATCCCCGGCCTTCTTCCCAGCACCTTGTGAGCCTGGAAATCTTGCCTAGCTATTGGCCATCCAGCTATTTGTTAAACCAATCACAACAACGTATTTTTACATAGTGTAATCGAATCCTCAGTCTCCGCTTCCTGACTGTGGACAGAGTGTGGTCAGGGCTTTAATCTCCCTCTCATACTTGACCATCCACTGAACTGGGAGCCAGGAGCCGCCTTTTCTCCTTACGTTGCTTTTGGCAGGTGTTTTGTTACAGCAAGAAGGAAACAGCTAAAACAAGGGTCAAACAAGAAGCTCTCAGACCTTTGAGGAGGACCTGGCTTGGCCATTCTTTGCTATGTGACCTTTCCACCCTCTGGATTTCAAGAGCTTCATCTGTATAAAGAAGTGTTTGGTCAAAATCAGAGGTCTTTGTACATCTTTTTCCTATGTGTCTTGAAAGGGAATGTGAAAAATATCCACAATGACACACTTTTAAAAATGTATTGTTCTCTGAGTTGAGGCCAGCCTCAACTAGATCTAGAGAGCGAGTTCCAGGACAATCAGGGCTACACAAAGAAACCCTGTCTTGAAAAAAAAAGAAAGAATAAGAAAATATTGCTATTTTAAATAGTTATAAAAGAATTTAGCATGCAAATTTGTTATTATTAACATTTAAATATAAAATATTTACATCATTTCTTCAAATATATCTAATGCAATTTCAATATCCTAGTGAGTTTTGGATGCAATATCATTTGTTTAAAAAAAAATAGATGTTGGCAACCAATTAAGCTAACCAGGTTCCTTTACTCTCAGAGGCCTGCTCCGAGGTGCGATGAAGCCCTCCTTCTTGGTAGTGTAGCAGCCTATTCCCTATATGACTGCCCGAAGGGACCTGGGAGACAATGTTCTGGTATGTATTCATGTCAGGGTCCTGACAGGTAGGTAGTGGGGCGTCTTTGGGAAACCCCAGGACACAATGGCCATCGTGTCCATTTGCCCTAAGCTGCAGAATGACATGTGATCGAGGCCCTGAATAGAACCAAATTCAAATTCCCCACCTACCAGAAGATCCGTATCTCTAAGAAGTGGGCCTTCTCTGATGCAGATGAACGTGAAGCTATGGGAGCTGTGAAATGACTTATCTATGATATCTGGTGATCCAGTACATTCCCAGCCATGGTCCCCGGAAGCACTGCACCCCAGGGCCTATCAAGTCATGTTCAGTAAATAAATCTCACATCCACTCTGAGGAAATCCTGGCACCTTCTGGACAGTTGAGCATCTCCTTCCCAGCCACAAAACTCACTGAGGTGGATGATGGACTCAAACTTAGTATGCTGAAGGAGAAGCGCGTGGTCACAGAATTAGCGCTGACGCACTAGGTGAAGAATGGGAGGGCTGTGTTGTCTAAATCAGGGGTGGGAACAACAAGCAAGGTTTTCCCATGAAGCAAAGGACAGAATGTATCTGCTATTGAGTAAGGGGCATTCTTGTTATAGACCAAGGAGGACTGGAGAGAGGAAGCTCACGTCTGTTTCAAATGCATTCAGAATGCAGATCGGAGTAATTTCAACATGGGTTCTGAAAAAAAAAATAAAAGAAGAAATAAAGGAAGGAAGAAGGAAGGAAGGAAGGAAGGAAGGAAGGAAGGAAGGAAGGAAGGAAGAAGAGAGAGAGTATTGGCGCCCATAAGACTCTACAGTGAATACACAGCTGACGGACCAATAGGCAAATCCACGGGAAGTGTATTTACACACGCCCACATGGAGCGACCCGTTTTGCAGAGCTGCAGAAAAACTTCTTGTCTTTTGGAAGTTACTGGCATATCTGTGGAAACCTTGTGAAGCCATGATGCTTCCCTTCAAAACGGGATTCATTCCCAGAACACCTCACTTCTACCCAGGCAACAGAGAGATCTTGCTTCATTCCCCCACACCATGAGGCCTTAGAGAGATAACATTCACTCTTTGTTTTAGCAGTCAAATTTACACAGAGACAATCTCACAAAACTACCTGCTAACAGACCACATAGACTTTTCTATAAAAAACAGGCCCTGGGCAGGAAGGCATCATGCCCCACCTTTGCTAGCAAACAAGTCTAGGAGTCCCCAAAGCTGGTTATCACCAAAGAGATTGGATGAGGAGAATGGGTGAATCCAGGACTCAGGGATGTTTAGTAATTTTATCTAATGGTTTGGAATGTCAGGTACTTCCTTTTGAATGCTGGCTCTTTCCTGAGTGGTGCCACCTCTTCCAGAGTACAGCTTTGTCAGGTCCTACCTGCCCTTTTGTGATTTTGATATGCATAATATTATTGTCCTTGCCTATGGAATTTTCCAACTATGTCTGTAAAAACTAGAAACCTCGTGGAGATGAACCCTTACTCTTCTCTTTCTTCTTCTTCTTCTTCTTCTTCTTCTTCTTCTTCTTCTTCTTCTTCTTCTTCTTCTTCTTCTTCTTCTTCTTCTTCTTCTTCTCTCCTTGCTACTTCATCTACTTCTTCCCCTTACTCCCTTCCTTCTTCTCCTTATTCTTCCCCTTCTTCCTCTTCTCCACGCCCTTTTACTTCACTTCCAACCCCCCCCCACATTAAAAATAAAGAACATACAGAGGTAATGTATTTGAGCTATTTTTTACCCTCAGATCCTCGCCTGCCATATACATCCAATTCTGAGCCCTGAAGGGGTACTGAGGCTGATACTCAAGCCTCAATAATAAGAGAGGGGGTATTCCTAGACTGACAGATACAACTGTGCCTTAGTGGCGGAGGCCAAAAGAGAGTCCAGAATCCAGGGCTTTCAATTTCTGTGAAGCAGATGGTGCCTACCAGTGTGTTTCAGATAGCTGTTAAACAAGGGTCAGAAGCCCAGAAGCAAGACCCCCAAGATTCAATATCTTTCTACTCCATGTGTCCTGCAACACAAACACAGACAAATTGTTCTGAAGAAACAACACACTAATAAAAATAAGGAGTAGGCTGCAGACATGCTAAACTTTAATCCAAGAGAATGAAGGAAGCTGAAGAAAACCTCCTGGATTATTTTGGCATCACAGCTAAATAAATACTGTGTTTGTAGATGGAAACTTAAATATTTTATGTTTTCTGGATTCAAAAGGTTTTCATTCATATATATTATCATATATGTATACCATATATATTGAATTCAGTCATTAATGTAATTTGGGAACATTATGAATCAAAATTTTGGTAAACAGGAAAAGTCAAATGAAAAGAAGTTCACGTCGCAAAAGAAAAAAAAAGGTATGGAAAGTGGTTAAAGAAATCTCTGTGCTCCAAAACATTAGGAACCAGATCTCTCCATGCCACAAACTCAGGTGTGTGCATTCCAGGTAAAGCCCGCACAGTGTGAGTTGGAAAGGGCTGGGGAGATGCACAAGCTCAAGGACCTAAGTGGGGATTTTCACCACCCGTGCACAAAGCCAGGCACAGCAGTGTGCGTGTGACCCAGCACAGGAGGACGTGGTGGTAAGAGGATCCCTGGAGCTGGCTGACCAGTCGGGCTAGCCAATCAGTGAGCTCCGGGTTCAAGGAGAGACTGTCTCGGAAAATGAAGGAATACAGTCAATGCCAATCCCTGACTTTCATATGCACCTGCACACATGTGCATGCATGCCGTAGTTGTGTCTCTGCCCTTCCCTGAACACGTACAATAATTGAATTGACAATCAGCCGAGAGGGTCTGAGAAGATAAGACAATAATCCAAGTCCGTTCTCTGTCTTGGGAGCCCCAGGCAGTCTGAGACTCTAGACACATATTCTCTTCATTCCCTGTGCTAAGGGAGGTCACCCATGCAGGGTGGCTTCTCAGAGTCACATCTGAGAGGGCCAATGCTGCCGTCAGGTATGCAGCTGTGTGACTTGGGCAGCTTCTATCACTAACGTCTGCTGCCTCATTTCCATGATCTGCAAAATGGAGACACACACAGCTCCACCTCGGGCTCCCCCCTCCTCTTATGCATGGATGAGTGCGCATGTGCATACACACACACACACACACACACACACACACACACACACGCTAACCAAAAGCCAACATCAAGGGTGCTTTCCCTTAGGCACTTGTACTTTTTGAGACAGGGACCCTCACTGGACTGGAACTTGCCAATAGACAAGGCTGGCTGCCTAGCTAGATCCAGGGATCCAACCGTTTTTTACCCTCTCAGACCTGAGATCACAAGCACATATCTCCAGCCTAGCATTTGTACCTGGGTGCTGGGGTCTGAACTTGGTCCTCATGCTTGCAAGGCAGGTGCTTTCCTAACCAAATCATCTCCCCCGTCCCTCCTGGGGATTCGTTCAGGGTTCATTGAGATGACAAATATAGCCAGTACATGATAAACGCTTGAAGAAGAGTGTAGAGGATTCTGGAGAGTTCTCCCAACCAATACACTCTGGGAAGGAAGCCAAGATCCCCCTTGCCTCCAGTCACCGCGCCCAGCGCCCGAGTGAAGGCGATGCTGTCACTGAGTCTGTCTTGGCATTCCTGTGACAGAAAGCAGAGTGCTTACTCGTTGACTCACTTTTGTGTGTTAGTTTTTGTTTGGGGTAAGTTTTTTTCATTTACCAGGGCTTTTTTGATTTAAAATGAAATGTTTACAACAGTCAATATTTACCCACAGGTCCTGACCTTTCCTTCTTCAAGAGGGTAACCATTTCTGGTATCTCTCACCAGAAGCAACAGCCATGGATTTGGACATTTGGAGAGTGGTTTTGGCAGGCTTCCTAGGGTTCCCCCTTTTCTCAGAGAGAGGATTACAATCTGCCTCTGCATGCGTGTGAGACCAGAAAATGACTGTTACTGCTTTCCAGGAACAGAAAGAAAACAGATACTCATTCGTGCCCTCCTTGAAGGACTGGGGTTGCCTGGGGGCCAACTTTGAATCAGGCAACCCAATATTTGAGCTTTCTACAGGAGAAACAGAATGAGACATTGATATGCTAAGAAGTCACTGACCGAGTTAGTGTAGCTACTGCTAGCTCTGATGTTGATTTTACACTAACTTTATTGCTCAGATGCTGGCCCGGTAGCTGGCACTGGCTGCCACCAGACACTGGCCCGGTAGCTGGCACTGGCTGCCACCTTGCTGCCACAATGGGGATCCCACTGTTTGAGTTCTGCATTATTTGTTTTCTGCAGGCGCAAAGGGAGGCCTGTTTTCTTTCTCTAAAGATGCCGCTTGCACCCACATTTTCCCTACGGTCCCCCTTCTTCACTGCCCTTCAGAACTCAACTGTAATTTATGGGTTCTTGAGTTGTTTTATCTAAATGACTTATTTTTATTCAAAATTTCATTTTGTTCTGCGGCAGGCATGAGAGCTTGGTCGGTAAAGTGCTTGTTGTGCCAGTAGTGACATTAGTTCAACAGCACCCATGGAAAGTCCTGCATGTGGTGGCCTGTGCATGCAGTCCTTGAGCTGGGGAGATGGTGACGGGCACTTTCAGGGGCTTGTCAGCCAGTCTAGCTAGTCAGGAAGCCATAGAGACCCTGCTTCAAAGAACAAGGTAGATGGTACTTGAGGAGGAAGGACACGAGCTTATCCTTTGATCTCCATATGTACCTGCAGATATTCTCTCTCTCTCCCTCTCCCTCCCCCTCCCTCTTTCCCTCCTTCCCTCCCTCTCAGGCAGGGAAGGCCTTTTGTAAAGAAGAATGGAAAGTCATAGGCTGTGTGTATTGATGGTCTATTCTTATCTCTTTCTGTATCCATTTCTTGAACCATTTAATCATAATATCCTCCCCCCCCACCGTTGGAGTCAGGTCCTACTCTATTACTCTTATGACTTGCTTTGGCCAATGGAATTCTAGTGATGGAGGAGGGTCATTTATCTATCTGTTGCTCTCAATGGTAAATGAATAAAGAAAACTGCTTGGCCTGATAGGG